TTTGACCTAGGCTTTGGGTTTATCAATTATGATATATCAAATTATCACTTTATTTACTGAGATCTGGGGATGGTGCAATGCCAGATACACAACTGAAGAATGGAGTTCATAAAAAAAAGACCAGAGTAGCCGCATCATGTATACATCATTATCTGCCAATACAGAAGCTGTGGTATCTGGATCCATCTAACCTTTTTCGTGTCAATCAAAGAAATATGTGGATTTTATGCCTATTCTTAATACCTCTTAAGATCCGATTGCCGTGTGTTTCCTCCTCTGCTTCTTCTTCTTACTGAAAAATGAGATGGGATTCAGAGCTCTGGGACTTGGATAAGACCAGACATTTGTAAAAAACAAAACAAACAAAATAAAATGCACCAATTGAACCCAAAATGTTGTAAATCACTTATTAGTGATTGGATTGAAAAACTATGAGGCGCGACAGTAGTATCCAGGAAGTCGCTCCATTTGAGTACTTTCTAAACATGCTAACATGTCTGTTGCACTACAGGCCCATTGGTTCACAGTGAATATGTAAATAAAATTTTAAAAAGCTCAGTAATTTCCTAAACAGCTGGTCACTGTAGTTTGTGGCAAATGTTACTCACATGGGAGTAATTAGAGCATTTGTTGGAGACCATTTTCAGGGGCAGATTAATCCACATTTGGTGCTCTAGCAGCAGAGCAGTGTATGATGGACTGAGTCAAGATAAACTACAGTGTGTGTGTTCATGGTAATGAAGGAACATGTCAAACAGTGTGACTCACTGATGTGTTTTAATAGTTTTTGGACAACAGTGGAGCTCTATGGCACAGAGGAATAAGATATATCAGGCTATAAATGAATACACACAGTACTTAATAAAATCAATTAATTATTGCTTTTTGGTGACAATATCTAAAAGTTTTAATAAAGCTTTATCCTTAAATTTAAAAACTTGAAAAGTACAAATAAAAATTATTTGTACAAATTAGATAATAGAATGGTAAAACATTTATATTTTGTTATTCAAAAGTTAAAAATGTACTTTAATGAATTCTTATTTTTACAAAAACATGTTATGATTCTAATCTTACAGGAACTGAAAACTGAGTATCAACCTATCATATCAAATCCAGAATAAAGTAGGTCTCCTCTAAAGTAGACTCCACAGGTCAAAATGAGAAGGTCAGGGTTACCAAAAAATGTCAGCAATGGTGTGGGAAAGATATATGTGAGAAAAAACTTGCTCTGCCCTATATTTAATGATTTCTTTCCCTGACACTTTCTGTTTCTGCACCTTTGACAGTTCATACCAGCATCTTCCTCATTTTGCCTTTTTCCTTTTTGCCTTCACTTTTTTATTGTCTATCTATCTATCTAGGTCTTACTTTTGTTTCATCTCTGTCTCTGTGTCTCTGCAGGTTTACCGTGCTCCTGTAATTGTTTTCTCATCTCACTCTCCGGGGATGTGTTGGCATGGCCTTATTATCCCGGCTGATCAATGTGATTTATAGGTTTAGGGAGCGAGACATGCAAACTTTCTCATCTCCGGGGGATAAACCGAAGAAATCAATCACACACACTCTCTGCTCTGTGTGTGGGCCAATCCAGACCTGAAAACTACTTTCTCCAAAGACCATCATGGAAGCAGTAGCACTCTTCAAATTGAGATTCTGTGTCTAAGTTGTTCTTTTTACTCCCAAATACTCAATTTAATCTTTATAATAGCAGTGCTTTTTGTGAATGCTAAAAATATACACTGTCTTGATGTTACTCAGCTGAAACACGTTTTTTTTTTCCCACAAGTTATCATTTTGTGTCTTTCACTACAGTTACGCTGATTAATTTGTTTATGCTATTGCACCATTGCACTAATTTGCCATGATGCAGATGGCAGCCTTGTTAACATAATCATGCTGGCCCTCATGAGGACAGCAGGAAATCATATTGTTGTGGATTCCCACCAAGATTTGATGGTAAATATTCATGTTTTTTAATGGCATTCAGCTTCATCAGGGAATAAACTGCAAGATCACACTTGAATAAGATTTACTGTAGACTTGCAGCTTGTTTTTTATTGATCCTATACATGACTGTATTGAGTTAAAGTTAGTCAGTTTTTTTAAAGCCTCTCCCTTATCCTTGATGATGGACCACACTGTACACCTGCCAGACAGGTGTGTGACGTCAAATCAGCATACAGCAAGCTGTGTTAGTCACAGTGTGACTTCCATAGGATCCGTACACTTACCGTACCGTACACTTTAGAATTCAGAATCAGGCTCTGGGCTAAACAGAAGAGGTTTGATGTTTAACACATGTTAAAGACTTCATCCAGCTCAGCAAGGAAATACATCCAGTAAGGTAAAATGTTTTAGCTTCCTTCAACACTGGCCTTAAGCTGATGCCACCAACAAGTGGTATTAGTTGTGTTGTTTTGACATTGTTTATTTTATTTAAGGTTACTGCTAGTTAAGGCATCATTATGCAGCTTTTTATCTTAAAATAACAGCTTTAAAAATCATTTTAATAGTACAATGACTTGTAATAGAGTGAATTCCGCTTCAGGCAGGTGGAGCCTTCTATGGCACTATGTAAGATTGAAATCCTGGGCAGGATTTCTATAGCGAAACAGTGTAATGCATTACAGCACCACAACACATCAACAAAACTCTAAAGCAAGCAAGGTGAAGAAGCAAAAAGTATATGAACAATGTGAGTTCTTTGGAGGAAGCAAGCTTGGTATTCTCAGTATGGCTATCTTGACAGAATCTGCGAAGAGACCAAAGAAGACGTTGGGGGAAGAAAAGAATAGAAAAAGAGAGTGTGACGGAGCAAGACACCGGACAAGAGTAAATACCAGACTGGCTTTTACTCGTTGGCGTGAGCCAAATCAGCTGAAAGGATGCCGAGCTGGTCTTCTTGCTATTGGACTAGTAAGTAATGACTTAATAGCTATCTCGCTGTGTCTTGTGTTGTAGCACTTGCTTGACACTTGTTACTTGTCTCTATATTGTTTTGGTTCGTTCTCACTGATCTCATAGTGTCGTTTTTAGCAGCAGAAGGCAGCTGTTTCCATCAAAGAAAACTCTAAAAACCAACTGCATGCTACCTGGCCAGCACCAAACGGTAGACAAACGAGGTTAGCAACAAGCTTGATCAAGAGTTAGTGGGGCCCAAAACAGAGTTAAAACAAGAGTAAATATTAGTCTTACATTTGTGTGGCCGCCAGAAACACAACTCAAAATTGTATGTTAAAGTTGTCAGTTGGATGTATATATGGACTCAGCAATAGCAGGGGCGGATCTAGAGAAATGTTCATGGGGTAGCAAGAGGTGGCGTGGAGATTTTAACATTTTTAATACTTAGCTGGCAAGTAAGTAAGTAAGTAGTAAGTGCACTGCCAACACATTAGTAGTTGGGTAGTGTATGCAGAATGAGCAGTTTCAGAGTTGTTGATACTGGAGACACTCGTTAGCTCCGGTGAATATTTGGGTTTAGTGCCTCACAGGATAAGTCCCCTGCTATCTCCGGATTTTCTGTATTTCAGCCAGCTGAAGATGGCAACCCCTACACACATTTAGCAAGTGTGGCTAGGACTCTAAGAAGGTGTACAGAAAGCTACCAGGGCCGGGCGCTGCTGCCCGCTGCAGGCACGGCAAGTGGCAGCTGGGGAAAATTAGTGTGTGTACCAACCCTGTGTCCTCTTGCAGCTCCTGGCTTGTTTCTCATTTTAGGGGATAAAATCCGTCTTTGACCTTCTGTCTAGACCGTATCTCCCTACCTCAATAATGCACATAAATGCACTGACAGCTCCTGTCGGGGGAAGGGTAGAACCTAGGAGTCTACAGGGGCCTAACAGAGGTTAGGGTTAGGTAAGGCATTGTTAGGTTTGGCAGCTGCCCCAGTAGATCCGCTTTTGAGCATTATTATTACCTATGGAGAACAGCTCCAGGAAGATTTCCCTAAAGCACGTGGAAAACAATGCAAATAACAGCAGAACACCTGACAATGCCACGTCATTGAGTTCCTCCTTTTATTGCGTGCAGATTTATCTAAAGCCACTGATGGCCAAGTCCCCTTGTGTGTGTGTGAACATAATTGGACAATGAAGTTGATTCTGATTGTGTTTCTATAGAAGGAAAGATGTAACAGGCAGTAATCACGTAGTAATCAAGTCTAAATCACAATCACAGACACTTGAGACGTGACATGTAATTGAAGATTTTAAATTGCACGTGGACTTTTTCATCTGAGACTTGACTTAACTTGAGGTAAGACTTCACTGAGACTCTGACTTTGATTTGGTGACGTATGAACTCTGGCTTCACACAACACCAGTCGCTGAGCTCATCGGAAACACTCCTCAGCCTGCGGGGACACAACCAGTTTACTGTCGCTGGATGATTTTTATCTGTTTCCATTGACTCAATAAATTCAATTAACTCCAATTAAACTGTTTAAGGATAATTAATCATTAATTACCAACGAAGGATGGTGGTAAATATTTACTTATTCATCATACATATTTGTTGTTTTTCTCATGATTATTTTATGAGGCAATTTTCTTATAATGTGTGCTCATGTGCGCAGCATTTTAATCTAACATGCAGCCGTCACTGATTGCACATTCACCATGGATGTTTGACCATAATCTTTTATCCCTGCTTCAGACTGTCTGTTGATAAAATCCAGTGGAGAGCAGGGACCACAAAGTTAATAGACTATCACTCCCCCTAAAAAGAACTGATTGTACTATTCGGGAGGGTCACATACACAGTGAGAGGGGTCGCTGCAAAAGCGAGAACAAAAGAAAAACTGGGAAAAGTGAGTGAGGCGAAAGAGTGTATTTTGAGTCCTGTGGGTTAATTCAGTGCCTTTCAGCTACAATTGCTGTGTCTAAGCATTCATGAGCCATAGACGGAGTGAGTGAGGGAGGGAGAGAGAGACAGAGTAGGGGAGGCAGAGAAATGAGGGGAATGGATGGAGCAACAGCACAGCGCTCAGACACAAGAGGGAGAGCTGGAGAGGCAGCCACTGTGTGAGCTCGTCCACAACGCTCTGAGCAGGTAGAGCGAGCACAGGCAACAGAGGGAGAGGCGGAGAGAGAGAGAGTTCAGGGGGATACCGAGGGAGGGAGGAAGTCCGTCTAGTCACCTGAAGATTACTTTGTCTCACTTCTTTCACCCTGAGTGCTGGAAGGAGCAGCGAGGAAAGAGCTGAGTTGATCAGGAGGTGCCAGCTCTCTCTTGTCTTTTTTTCTTCTGCATGGGAGTCAGCTGGACGTCTCTGCAAAAAGACCCGGTGATCAGCCTCCACTGGAAAGACTGAGAAACAGAAACCAGCTCGCCAAGGAGAGAAAAAGTGAGAAAACTGCAGTACATGACACTTCCTGCAAAGGAAGAGAAGTTTTGCAGAAAATCTATGACTGACAGCTTTTAAAGGTAGGATTTGAATTTATTTGTTTGATATTGTTTTGTTAATATGTATCTGATAACAGTGCATCACCTCAGCTGGTAGTAAGTGAAGGTGACAACTTAGATTAATGTAAAATCCCCAACATACATTGATTTGTTGCACATAATGATCAGAAGAACCTGTTACAAGGTAAGTCTTTAAATGCTGCCTTTTGTGTTTGCGGACTATCTCCTCCCTATGTATGTGTGAGGAACTCTCTTGTGTTTATCAATAAGCGATCATGAATATGATTTATTGACTTTGTGGAGCAGCAGCACTTGTTTTATTTAACTGGGCCACGTGTGGTGAAAATGTGTGACAACAATGTAAAGTGGAATAGAGTGGTAAGTGGAAGAACACAGTTTATCTTAAAAAGATATTCTGCAACAGAGCAGAGAATAAAGAGAAAAATCTAACAGGGGGCGTTAGAATTACCAGGGACTAGGTTGAGAAAGAAAAACATGAGTGTGAATGAGTTGGACTGAGAAAGACGTAGAGAGTAAAATAGAGATAGGAGGGGGAGGGATGGAAGACTGGAGTGGCGGGGGCTCACTGGCAGCCAACTCAGTAACCAAGGCAGCTGACATGAGGGAGAGCCAACAGGGGACAGTGGGATTTCTATTTTTCACCCTTGCTGAGATACGCCGGGGCTCTGCCAAGTCCCCTGCCTCATCCCCCACGGATAAAGATTTCATTGTGTGGCGCTGTGACCGAATTCATTAAGCATCTACATGTACTCTCCCCTGGCCGCACTTACTCTCTGACGCTCTCTATCTCTTTTCTCCCCAAACTCGTTCTCCGCTCCCACTCCCCGGCTGATATTCACTCCCCCAACCCCCCGCTTTCATTATAGTCTCAATTGGCCCTATAATCAGCTCCACTCGTGTCGCATCAACAGTTGTGGGTTTTTTAAGCCCATGCAGTGAATAATAAACACATATGCTATGATTCTTGAGGGAGGCTTTCGAGGCTGGCTCTAAACCCAAAGTATCTCTCTGGTTTCGGGATGCCACATAGTGTCGCTCTGTGTGCAATGGGAGGTCAAGGAGATTTAATAGATGGCAACTTGGTGATTTTGGAATTAGGGGAATTTTAGGCAAGAAAAGGGCTGCCAAATGTTGAAAATTCTGTAAATGCAGAAGAAAAAACTAAATTGTGTTGTTGTTTTTTTGGTATTTCTTATTTGAAACCACATGTCTCCAGAATGACAACATTAAAGTGACTAAAATAAATGATTTCATAATAACACTGGATCACATGAATACTTGCATGTGAAAAGGGTAACTTGTTGTGACAAACATAAAGAGAATTATCACCTGAGTTCGCATTTCCCCTCTGCTCTATAGAGCTTATTGTTTTGATTGTACTGCCTTTACTGTTTTGGCCATCAGCTTCTTTTCCAGCAGCAGAAGGAAGCTGTTTTCACAACCTGTTCTCACTCCCGACTCGTCACATATGGACGCATGGTCAAGACCCATCTGCGTCAGTTTGCAACGCACTGGGTATCACTATAACTATAACTATATCATAGTTCAACACAGTTGGGGAAGCCCTGTAGCGTCAGTTTCTGACAGTAAAAGTAGGTATATGATATTTAACAGAAAAGACTGAGTGAAGAAGTGGTTGGGTGGGTGGATGCATGATGGATGAATGGAGAGACGGCGAGAACCCCCCAATTTGAACCAGGAGGCCGGGGTTCGTGTCCCGTGTGAAACAAAAAGTCAACATTAAAATATTTAATTTAATTTACGCGAGTTAGGTAAATTGCCTAAGTTACGCAAGTGACGTAAGTTCATTTACGTGTTAACTGACCTACGTAGTTATTTTAACCCAAACCATGATTTTTTCCTAACCTTAACCAAGTAGTTTTGTTGCCTTAACCTAACCAAGTACTTTTGGTGCCTAAACCTAACCAAATTTAATAATGTACCATTTCAAAATGGCGATGTTTCGAAACGCTAGTGTTTTATTTTGAAAGTCTAACCAGACGTTGCATATTTATTGTTGCTAACTTTACCTGATGTTGCATATTTGTTGTTGCTAAGCATTGCTAACTTATCCGCGGAGTCTTAAACGTCTAAAAATTACGCTAGATGGGTACCAAGGGCGTTAAAAAGTGACGCCAAAGGACCTTGACCAATAAACAGCTGTTTGCTAACAAGCATCAACTGTTAATATGTCACTGTTGTGTTTACAGCTTGTTCCACTGCCCCCAAGTGGATAATCCAGCTATTCCAGGTTTAACCTTGACAAAATCAAAACCCTAGTCTCAAGTAAATTGCACTATTGCCTAGTCTTTTTTTAACCTGACAAAGATTTGACAGGGATCGAAACTTTATCTGTTTGAAGACATTAGTGGTTTGGAGTCGATGTGCATCCATTACTCTTTCCTTCGATGCAGTTTGCCTAACTTGACCAAAAGACTTAGCTTAATCTAATATTAACCAATGTGACAAATTTGGCAACAATGGAGCCCCAATTTGTTCTGTCATGGCAAATAATTGTTAATGGTGCTACTAATGACAAAAATAAGTCGCATTTCCAAGTTTCAGGGATGCCTGATATGCCTGACATTTTAGCTTCCAACTTTGACTCCCTCAAGTGTAGTATCAAAAAAGACACTGTGGCGAACAGCATTGTGCACCCCTCCACTTTTCAGACCCTCAGAGTTTCTCCCAGTGCAGTCTCATAAACTTTTGTTTATGAGACTGCACTGGGAGATTCTCATAAAAAAAACCTCCAGAAAATGGCCTTTCCACTAGGGATGAGCAAGTACACCATGCTCTCTATACGCGCTCGGAATGAGTAAGACCCGGATATGGGCGGGATAAACCAGACATTATTAAAGTCTGAAATTGACATGGGTTGATCAGAAGTTGCTATATTTATCCAATAACTATTTACAGAACAGCCTCAGAATTGGGCTTCGGAGACATGGTTTTGATAACAGTAAGAGTAAGAGAAGTTTGTTTTTTATTAAAGGTTCCTATATTTACAGAGATTGACGCATTTTACTCTGATTATGCTAAAAAGAACATTATCTGTACCAGATCCTTGTTTCAACAGAGTACTCGCTCAACCCTACTTACCTCACACTTTAGGGATGCAAAGCTCTCACGTGTTGTAAAACAAATGACACCTCTTGAAACATGATCTATGTCTGTGTTCACTGTATATATCATGCATTAGTCTTTTCATGCCTTTCTCCACATTGAGCTCCATGTCATCATCCCTTTAGATAAAAGGCTGGTAAAAGGCTCCTTATTGTTTCCAAGATGTGAGACACATCGCTTGTGGTGAAATCAATAGCCCAGTAAATTCTTAATTGAATGACTGCAGGGCCTAGAACCTGATAGTGCTTTATGGGCTACCCGAAGGAACCTTCGAGAGCACATGAAATATCAAGGACCCTGCCCGCATTGTTGTGGTCGGGGAAACAACGTCATGTCAATCAGCCAGGCCTGGCAGCGACAGCGGCCGTGCAAGTGTGTTAGCGCTTGTACACCTGCCATGTTGTGTTTGAGTGGTGTCATATTACCTCCAATAAGCTTTTGTTCCTTTGTAAGACTTTTTTTTTTTGCTCATTTGATCATTATGTAGCACATTTTGCCAGTATTATTTGACACCAGGGAGTGGTAACATGGATGTCATTATGGTGATCGAAGACAGAAAACCACCCCTTAGGGTCTCAGGGTAGAAACATCGTTGTCGGGAAATGGACACTGAGTGTGAAAACGAGATGTATGTTATCTGTACACAAAACACATACAATTTTGTAGCAGAGGAAATCCTTTTGTTGGAGCTATAACTCATCCATCTGAGCTGTTGATGGATTGACTGACCTCGGGGCTCTTGTTGCCACTTCAACAGACATAAAAGACTACAATGAATACTTTTAGTAAATTTGTAAATGTCATGCTTGTTTCACACCACAGAATCTCAACCATCACTTTGTTAACTAATTTGTCCACAATGGAAAGTGTGAAGATGTTTTATAGCAGAAATTGTGTACTGAATTAATAGTATTTTACACTGAAACTAATGTAAGTCTTTTTCTTATTTTGTGAATTTAACAGTATAATGAAAGCCAAATATTTAGTTTTACCCAGTAAATTCTTGTTTCTGCCTTGTTTTTTTTTTTTTATTAATAGGAATGAATAGATGGTTAATTAAAAGATTTCAATACATGCTCATTCCGACAAGCTGTTGGGATAGTCTGAACGTGATGCAAAGCTCTTTATATATGTTCAGACGGGTCTACTGTGTCCACCACCAGTCCAACATTCACTCGTGATTGGCTAGGTCCCATAGGTGTGAAAATGGGCAAAGCCCTACCCCATGACTACCTCTGGCTTGATAGTAAAATTTGGATGAGTTTCTGAAAAAAACAGCAGCGATAGGCTGACACACCTCTACTGCACATTTTTTAATCCAAGTGAAACTGCAATACACACACCAGGCACATGTTGCTACCTGTGTGCTATTAAAATGGAATATTTCAATTTCCACTAAAATTTTGAGTAAATTTTAAACAGATCTTCAATAATCTGGAAAAAGAAAATGCTAATTTCCATCCGCTAGTGACAAGCGAATTAGGATTTGGGCCCATGACACAATTAAATGTGCTCCAGTCAAACTTTAGACAATGAAAAAACATGTGGAAAAACATGTTTCAAATGTGGCATTTGAGTTTCATGAAACAAACATAAATGCTTTTTGCCTTTTCTCAAATTTGCAGTGTTTCCACTCAGGTTTTTTAATGCCAAATTGAAAATGAGCATAAAAACAGGTAGATAGAAGTACACTGACCAGCAAGTCCCCCAGCAACTTCAACTTTGAGTGTGGCGGCTCCAGTAAAGATGTACACCTGCTAACTTCCTAACTCCTCCTTTCTAAAAGACACGTTGTCCAACCTTATTCTGACGGAGCATATCTTGTCCCATCTGTAACAGGAATTAGAAATATTAACAGTTTTATCAACATATGT